TTGAGGCTAAGCTGCAGGAGGTGGTAATGCTTTCGGAAAACTGTTTGGCTTTTATGGGACACAAGTGCTTCGCTAAAAAGTCGGAGTTGTTAATCATTAAATCCAGGAAATCAGGTTGTAGGCCCTAAAATTGGGTACCAGAAGTTGAGACTTGCATCCCAGTTCGCACTAGCGATGGGTCATTGGTAAAAAAAGTCACGTTTGGTAGTTGAAGCAAATGCATTCAATAATATAACTATTCAGTGTATTACCAAGAAGGCACAGGAGGCCATGACACTTATGCGAAAGTTCTTGAACAGGCATGGAGGATTAGAAGAACGTGCAATGCGCTTGGTTAACACATTTACATTGAGTGATTTTTCGCACGTAGCTGCTATGCTAAATGGTAAGGGAGGTCATCCGTTGTACAAACTCTTCTAAGTGATATCAAAGCAGCCAGGTACTTCGAATTCCCCCTCTTGGAACGCCGATACTTAACTCAAACGGTGTACCTAGGAAAATTTTGGTACCTTTGCCATTCTGTTAAACAACCGCTCCACGTCTGCAGGAAAGTGCAAAGCTGCATCAGTTCATTTCTTTGGTCTGGTGGCACAGGATTGTTATCGCGCCCAGCGTTAGCTCAACCGCGAGATCAAGGCGGTTTTGCATTCCCCGACGTTTCCGTCACGGCTTCTACATTGTGCCTCCGCACTCTATTGCGAATACTAAGCAATGATGGCATGCCCTCTCAGACACTGGCTCGCTACCATCTGGGGCCATCACTACGTGTCTTCTTGCCGGATAGCCAAATAAACCAAGGTCCCCAATCAACTGAATTACAATCTTTGTATCGAGCCCTTCTGGCATTTCACCGACATTTTGAAGCTACGTGCCCAGAGGTAGAGGTGGCCGATACTAAAGTGGTGGACACAATTGCCGCCCTTCTACGACCCTTGGTGCCCCAGCATCGTCAATCTGTAATGAACCGCGCTTGGAAACCAATAACTGCCGCAGTGTTCCAGGGCATCTCAGAGACATTGTCTGGAGGTTGGGCGGGGCTCGCTCCCCACGCGAGATCGGTTGCAGCGATGGCAGGTGGTTCGCACTTCCACTTGCCCTAACTGCGTCATGCTAGAGACCAATCGACATGCGACGTTTGAATGTGTGGTTTCCCGCATTTTTTGGCGTGTGGTTAATGCTGGTTTTCGGGGACAGGTGTGCGAACTTTCGTGTCCAATGGCCGATTTCCGCGTAGCCGCTTCTCCGCTCTGTTAATAGTTGCGGGGCTGTTCAGCCTTTGAAGAAACCGATGTGAGGCCGTAGCTGCCAATTGCCGCCGGCGTGCTTTGTGGCCGATACTGGGAGAATGACGAGAGATCCTCGCGTTCCTCTACGAGGAGCTTTTCCCTCGGGGAGCAAGAGTTTCTGCGGCAATGGTCGTGCCCTTTCGTCAAGGTGGAACACGAAAGGATACAACTCATTTTTCAACCGACTTGGTGCTAAGCAGCGCCCGTTGAGTTGTTTTATATGATTTCATTTGTTACATATCGTGTTTCATTGCATCTATTGTATCGTTATACCATTGTATCATGATATTGCATTGAGTTCTTGTGTACATATATGCCAACATTGTCATGTATATTAGAGCAAATGTCTTCACTGTAACGTAGTGATGTTAGTCGTGAAATATAGATGTGCCGAGGTGTATATGCCCTGTTACTGGAATGGTATGAAGCCTTTGTGTTCTGTACATGCTGTAAATAAATTTTTTCTAAAGAAGAGAGTTCTTTGCAATGAGACGGCTTTATGCTCTCCCATAGTAGAGTGCCAAGTGCTCTAAGGCCCAAACAACGAAACGTTCCTTTCCTTTGACCGCGTCCTCTCCTTACGTGAGGCTTCCTTACAACCAAGTACCGACGGAGGAAGCAAGCGTACTCTGAAAGCTCCCTTAACCCGTCCTCGCGGGAGGAATGGTTGCCGCGCTCCTGCGTTCGAGATTATCGAATATAAGCTTTGCTCACAAGCGTTTATACTGTAAAAAAGAGTTGGGTCACCACATCACTTCCAAATTGAAGTGTTAATATAGAGACGCGTGTACGCTTTCTTCCAACTACGATTACTGAATGTGAAAAGCCACCGTAGTCGAGCGCAAAACGTGGTGCATTCTAGCAACACTGAAACGCCCGCCTCTTTAAACGCTGTCATAGTGGCCATAACGCAGTCAGTATTAACGCGCTTCACGGTACAGACATGCCTGCAAAAACCCCCTTTTCCGAAGATGAGAAAGATCTCGTCCAGGACCTTGTGCTCAAATACAAGGCCGTCATCGAAAATAAGCGTACGGACGCAATGTCAATCAATGCAAAAGCCAAGGCATGGGAAAAACTGTGCACGGACTTCAACTGCAGGCCCTTTGTGCGCCCTCGGGACGTCAAGCAGCTAAAGAAGCTGTGGGACAACATGAAGCAAAGGTGGAAGCGGGAGAAAGCGAAGCAAATCCGTGACGTCCTCACTACAGGTATGTTTCCCTTCTTTGTAAAAAGGTCGCCGCTGCTACGAGTTTTGGGGTATTTGCAGGAGGCGGCCCCCCACCACCGCCTATGGATGAAAGGCTCGCGCAGATCGAAGGCATCGTTCCGCACCTGACCACGCGGGTGCCAAATCCTTTCGACAGCGACCGGCCGCTTGCCACGCCAGCACCCCAAAGCGCGTCGGAAATTCTGAACGGGCTGATCTGTGAAAATGGACCAGCTGACAGTGATGAAGGTATGCCGCCTTCTACGAACTCGATAGCGCGGCCACGGAGGTAGAAACCTCTGCAGGCAACGTGGGCGTTTCTAGCACACCAAAGGTCACGAAAAGCGGTTGTGTTTACACGCTGTCGTGATGTGGCAAAGCATGCAGATTCCTGTCCGATTTATCTGCACTGCCACCCTGTAATGCCCTGTTCGATCTTTCCTTTTTTTCCATTGCAGAGTAGTACACATGCATGATCAACCTTGAGGCCAACCTCTATGCTTTTCTGTGTAACTACTAACAGTGCAGAAATGCACAAATGAAATATGACATTCTGGTAGATTGCTCTGTTTCAATTATTTGGGTGAGCGCCTGTGCCAATCACGCTAGAATTTTTCTTTCATGCATAGAAATATGTTTCACGTGCTGTGCATGCTGCCCCACCAGTATCGTATACATAAGTGAGCTGTTCAGTGCATGCAGGTAATGGTGTTTATTGTCATTTCAAAGTATACATATATTGGTAATATTGGTAATACTGGTATTTGTTTCATAAGGTGCTTCCTCACATTTCTTCACTTGTCTTTCATGGATGAAACAACTTTTATTGCAGACCAAACAGAAACTCAGCCAAACCGACAGAGCAGCTATGCAGTCAATGCTGCAGAGCTCTCACACACCATCCATGGTTGGTGAAGATAGCTTATGCTTGGACGATCCCAAAGTCGATGCGGACATGAGCCAAGAGGAAGCTGCTCAGCCAGGTGCACAAAGTGAAGCACCAACAGCTGGGTCAAGTGTGCGGAATGTCCGCGGAGGCAGGCTGTCTCTGTTGCAGCACACACTCGACGTAGAACTCGAGGCTCGCCTTGATGCTATAAAAGCAGATAAAAAACATAAACAAATTGAGCACAATCAAAGAATGGAGTGTATGAGAGAAGAGCATGAGATCAAAATCAGCGCCTTGAAGGAGCAAAAAAAAAATTGCAACATCCAGCACAAAATCAAGCTTCGGATCTTAAAAAAGAAGAAGTACAGAAACTGAAGCAGGCGCTCCTAAGAAAACAGCTGCAGGCAGCCGACTCTGAATAAAGGAATATCTGAGAGCATGTTTTCGAAACTTGTCACATTAACATGCAACAGCAAGCATAAGTATATTTCTTGCTGTTGTTAAATCATCAGTTCTCTTCAAGTTGTTTGGAGATAACACACCAGATGTCTCAAATGTTATATTTAAACGTCACCAAGTGTAGTGTCTGAATGTACATGTGCCTGTTCAGCTGATGTTTGAAGTTTTCATAAAGTCATTTGAAGATATGAGCTGTGTCATGTACATTTTTCATTTACTGAACACCACAGCGGTGCAAGTAACACTGCTTGGATAAATGCATGCAGCACTCTTTAAAGTCAACCAGACTGAAGAGAGACGACGTAGAGCAGGAACATAACTTTTGAAACAGCACCTGAATGTAGACACTTACTTCAGGTTTGCACTGGACCTGTGTGTTCGTTCCCAGAGGAAAAACACCGGCGGATGTAGCAGCTGCGTACTTGTGCACCAGCAACAGTGTCGGGATCTCCTTGGCTGGGGTTGTCGGGTAAATTAACGTCGGGGTGTGCTTCATCGGAGAGTGGACATGGGTCCCTACGCAAACAGGCAATGTTGTGGAGCGCTGCACATGCTGTTATGATAGCTGCAGACCGATCAGTGTCCGTCAGCAGCTTTACCCGCAGGCATGCGAAGCGCCTTTTCCACACTCCAAATGTATGCTCCCCACTGTTCCTCGTTTTTATTTGGCTCTTGTTGTACCTGCACAAAACGAGAGAATGTGCAAATCATGCATGAGCAGCAAGCGCTATGTGCAAAAGCATTTGTGAACATGTCAAGATACAGCCACTGATACATCATCACAATTATTAGGAAGAAACAGTTTTGTTTTTGAAGATAACTTGCGTGTTCCATTTTAAATGTGTTTTGATACAACCTGTATTATTGGCACGTGCACATCATGGGTATGCTTTTCGAGATAACAAAGAATTTGCTGTGGGACAGCAGACAGTAAACCTGTTCAGAGACTGCTGTAAAGCATGTGTATGCTTGTATGGGAGCAAATTTAAAATTTAAGTGGTTTGCGTCTAGGAATACCTTTTCTCTTTGTTTTTACAGTGGGCTTTACAGTTGCAGGTACTTCATTTGCTCCAAGAAGTTTTGACATTTATCTTATAAACGGCAGGTTTTTATTCTAGTTTTCATAAGGGACACTGCAATTTTAGTGCTTCAAGTACTATTGTGCCAAGTAGCGCACCTTATAATTTCCATGCTGAGGTTCATGTGCTGTTACCTCTTTTGCGCTTGTTTGAGGATTCTTCAGTGGTGTCATGAGGAATGGTAGGCACGCATACCCCTGGTCACCAAGGAGAACGCCAGGTACAGCCTTCTGTTCGTAGAGAGCCATCACTCTGCTGTTGGTGAATATTCTGCTGTCATGCACAGATCCAGGCCAACTGGCAACTACGTCAAAGAATTGGAGCTCGGGACCAGTGATAGCCTGCGAATCAAGTATTGTGCATTTCTTAGAAATATTTTCACACAAAAGCAACAGCCATGTTTCAACGTGTGTAACTTGGAAAATTCTAAAAATGTGCACTTCCCCACCACAAACCCTCATGCAACTGTTAAGCACACTGTGCCCGGTAAGAAGTGGCTAATACAACAGGCCTTCACAACCCTTGGTTTTTATCAACCTACATGATAGTTATGCACTTTAGTTCAGTGCATTGATGGTGCATATTTACTGAAATTTATTTTAAGTTACTGATACACAACACAGTCATGGGTGCGACATTACTGATTATCACATTACCATGTTCAAACGCCAGCTAAGCTACTTTAAAAAATGGCGATTAAAAAGAAAGTGACATTCAATGGAGTACCTTTCTGAAGCTGTACGTTTCATATGTAAAAGAAAAATTGGCAATGGACAGTGGTACATGAATGGTGTGTATTCACCATGGGCATGTGCAACAAAAGTAACCCCATTTCTACAGCAACGGCACAGCATTGAAAACGTGCGTCTATACAACGCTGTCGGAAAAGTTACACACATCAAACAGGTTAAGAAAAAAAAAAAGAGACGAAGGCGTCACTTTACCTGCACATTAAGTGAGAAGTATCCCTTGCGGTTGCGGAAGACCTCGGCGTTCTCACCTCCAGGGCTCACAATCGGGACGTGCGTGCAGTCTATACACCCCGTTACACCTGGAACAGGCCAATTGCGTAGAAGCGGGCCATCACAGCATTCGCGTCTGCTGCATCGGGGAGTCGCACATATTTTGGAAACAGCCGCAAACATAGACCTGGGTGATCTCCCAGACACAACGCGACACATACTGCTGTGAGACGCGTACGAGGTCGCCAACCACTGTCTGCATGGCACCAGTGCCGTAAAACCGAAGCGTGATGAGCACCTTCAGCAGCGGTGGGAGCGGGGTTCCCCTTCGGTCCGTGTTCTTTTCCAACTGCAGTTCCGACATGATTGCAATGACAGACGCCTTGGTAAAACGAAACCTGAATGAAAAATCTTCTTCATCGTATTTCCATGGGGTTGACCGCATCGCGAAGGCGAATTGACAAGACCTCTCCGAAGGCGAATTGACAAGCGCGGTTCAAGAAATCCCTGAAGTCAGCCGCACTCCCGTCCGCCCACGACGCCATTTCTTGTATTACTGCGCGCCGTCGTGCCTGGCACCGTGCACGCACCTCGCCGCTCGTGTCTCCCCACAGGGGTGGGGTGAGAGGGTTGCCTCGAAAACGAAAACATCACGTGGGCTAGCTGTGAGGCGAAGCGCTCGTTCAGGGCAAGGAGTGGACCTAAGGGCGCACGAAGGTAGCCCCAAGCAACCTTAAGCTGAGGAAGCGCCAAGGAAGCCTTTACCGAGGGCTCCTCAGTGAGGAAGCTTTCAGAGTGACATAAGGCGGCCTCATAAAAGTGAAGGCTTCCTTACTGAGGAAAGGAACGTTTCGTTGTTTGGCCCTAAATCGTTAACCACTTTTTATACACACACAAGAATTACAAATTGGACGCTTTAATTAGAAACGCCACTAAGGAGGCGCTTAGTCCGTCTGGGAGCACGTCAAATGACATGTTAAATGATATACGCTGAGCATGCAAGTGACATGTTAACAGGTACTGTCACCAACTGGCCAAATTTTCAGTCCTTCTACAGACGGAGTGAATGATGATGAGTGGGGCGAAGCGTGTCAGCCCATCCATGCTTCCGTCCGTCCATTCATTCGTTCTTGCCTCCATCCGTCCGCGCGACCGTCCGTGCATCCGTCCGTCTGTCCAAGCGTCCATCCATGAGTCCATCCTTCTGTCTGTCCGTCCGTTTATGCGTCCATTCGTCGGCACGTCCTTCCATCCGTCCATCCGTCTATGCGTCCGTCCATGCATCCATCTAGTTAACCCTGCAATACCGCCATCTCCCATCTCCCATCCCCTGCGGCACTTACTCTAGAACGGGTATGAGTCGCTGGTGGCTACATACACCGACGGAGGAAGGACAGACCCACACCCTATAGAGCTTCGCTCTTAAAAAAGAACCACTTGTGTGGTGCTTAGTGATCACTATTCCCAAACGAAACAAAGACGCTGTAAACTTTGTGGTCCTATGTTTCAGACGCGTTCTAAGTCACTTGTGTCGTGCTAGGTCCCTCTGCAACTGTTTCCACAAGCATATCACCCATATACCGACAAAATCGTGAAACTTGTCATGACCTAAGTTTCATTTATTGAATTCCGATATGGGAGCCGCGGTGAAGAAGACTCCCTCAAAACACTTTTTTTTCGAAACCGAACGCTATAGAACTCCGCAGTAAAACATCTCGACCCAAGGAACACCCGAAACATTTTTTTTTCACTTTGGGCTGTAGCCGAGCTCGCACCTTTGTGTGGCAGGCTGGGCGAGTAGTCAATGCCATTTTCGGCTCTCAATATTAGTTCTTTAATTTCTGTATTTCAGTTGTATCAGAAAAGCGATATTGTAAACATGAGACAGGTAAAAGAAACACATAACAGCCTCAGTAGAGAACGTTTCATTTATCAATCTTTCGCTGCCTCTTTACCTCATGTGTGTTTGTCGTAACAGTCATTTTCATAGATTTTTTCTGCATTGAGAGTTGTATAAATTTATCAGCGAGACCGTCATTTCCTTTATTGTTCTTTTTCTTATTCATCACTCAACTGTAAGCTCGTGCCAAATGTATAACGATGATTTGTCTTTGTAACTTCTGAGGCTACATCAAACGTTAATGTGCGGAATTTCATTTTTGTATTATTCTCCGCAACCATTATTGGCCTCCAAGATAGCTTCCCTGGTCATCATTCCAACACCATGTTACTCATGAGTGAGGTGACGCCAGTGGCATATGATAACTGCGGCTGCCGTACAAAAGACAATCGCAATCACAAACCCGCCTCTTTCCGCTGGTCGCTAACAATAATTTTGCAGCCTCAAGCGTGGTTAGACATTCCTCCCCACCCCCCGCCAAAAAAACATCCCTTCCATTCGGCATTGGGTCTTATTTTCAAAATTAGCTAGAATTCAGTCCAAACACATTTAAAACCTAGGTAGTTTCGGGCGTTATTGTCAATTCGCCGAGTTTATTTTCGTGGCCCGTAGAGACACCCCCCCCCCCCCCCTCTCCGTGCCGTGATTTGCCCGCGCGGCTCCCAGCCTTGTCGGCTTCCCACAGTTTGGCCTTCCTGCTCAAAAGGTTGCCGGCCTCTGTGTAAAACGATTGAATCAAGAAACTTTCATGAACTCGCACGTGCAATAAAAAAACGTTTGTACTTTGGGAAAACTGAAAACACTGGGGTGATACCTCGCTTTGCCTGAAGGCAGAAGCGCTGTTTAAATTGCTTTGAGATACTTCGTGAAGAAGTTGTGAGGATTCCAAAGAACATAGAAGTCGGTAAAATTGTTTTGATTGGGTCATGCAATCAACGCTGTTCTTCTTTTAAAGTCATATCGAAGTGCAATTAGGACTGTCAAGTGATACATCGGCTTCATCAGCCCAAGTTTCACTTTTGACATACAAAGATATAACTGTGGCAAGGACAGGGGTCTTTGGAAAGCGGAGGAATCTGAGACAACACTTTTCTTTAGAAAACAAGGCAGTAATGCAAGTGATTACAAGTTTCACTGGTTAAAATGTGTAATGAATGCAACAAGATAACTTTCATGGATTATTAAGGCCTCGTGATAACGGAACATTGTTATTAGCACATCGAGATCTCAAAGCAATCTAAATTGTAGCGCTATACATGCCAAATAAGTTTTGCGGATACTGGCATGTTCACGTAAACAACAAAACAGAAAACAGTCATCAACCTGTATGCCACAAGAAAAGAGCAAATTCCTTGGCTAGCTGCTGCCTAATTTTGTGTTGCATTCACCCACCGTGCCTCTCCGCTTTTTGACGGGACTTTGGGCATCCCTGCGCTTGTCTCTTTATTTCACGGTTGTTGAATTCCACACTGTTAGCAAAAGACTCAACTGTCACTGGGTGCTGCCAAAACATCTGGGCTAATGTATAAAAATCTTGCCCGAAATCTGGGCAATCTTGATCGACGTTCGTAAAAGGCAATGCTTTTTTTTTCGGCGGGAAGGCTCTGTTCGCGAAATAAGCTGAAAAAACTGCGCGCCTCTTACTCGTACTACCGTTCCACGCATTACTGTTCTTACATTTGCTATGAAACTCATGCAGTTCTTACTTTTTCGTATGACGAGCACCCTGCCGAAGATGAGATTCTATCGTTCGTTGATTTTTTTCTTAACGTTAACTTTAGATAGTTGGCTGGCATGACGGATATATACAACTTAAGAAAATTGTATTAGCGCAAAAAAATTGTCATGAACCTAAGGACTATGTCTTTGTAGAAATGAAAGCACAGCGTGGCAGCTTGGGCTAGTTGGAATGGCATGACGATAGTTATTGTGCGAGAACAAAACGACGACACAGAGACAAGAAGGACACGAAGTACACGAGCGCTCGCGTCCGTCGTGTCCTTATCGTCTCTGTGTCGTCGTTTTTTTTCTCGCGCAATTACTATCGTCATGGAAAGCACAGCCTTGCAGAAAAAGCCAATGCAATTCTTCCATCGTCAGCGTGGCTCAGCGCATCAGCAAAAACCACATTGTTTTCTGAAAGTTTCTCTGTTTCACGTTATTCGTTCTTTTCATTCACTCCACTTTGCCTCCATGCCAATTGGTTGTGTCGGCATCGGGAACCCCTAGTCTAAGCTTCAACAGCAGCCCTTTTGGGCGCTTTTTTCTTATAAGCTTCTACAATATCAATGTGGAGATAAAAATCTGCTGTTAAAACATCTGTGGTCACTATGCTTTGCTCCCAGCAGGTCAATGTTGGGAGAGCAGTCGAGTATACTGCTGTGTTTTTGTTGCGGGCATAAGGAAGCTGCTTACATTGCATCGCAAAGAAAGGATATCGGAATACGATAGCAAGGCATGGAAAAAAAGATGTCCAGTGGAGAGATGAGTGGTAAAGGTGGCCCGCTTAACCGATATCTTTGCCCAATATCATAAAACACCGTCTATGTCACACAACAAAAAGAGCAGTTAACGAAGGAATTTTTGTCTATGTGGTCCAACAAAGTGTTGTCATTGGTTTGGTTTTGTCTCTTTGAACGAAGGTGCAGATTTTCATAATCAGGTGCGAATATTGAACCTTCTGTAAAGATAGTACACCTTACAATAATCTGTCTGAGATTTCTATCCTTTAGAATATAGGCAGCAAGGTGTCGCTTTTAAATAAGCTTTCGTGTTTAGAAAAATGGTTGCAATTTCGGAGCACTATGTACTCCATTATGGGACAGCACCAAGCTCTCCCTATCAAAGGCCTTCTCAAGGCAAGACATTGTAGTAGCCCTCTAAAAAACTTGGTAAGAATACAAATATTGGTGAACACCTTTTTCGCTTTTAGTACATAACTCTGCGTTTGAGAAATAGGCGAAAAACCTTTATATTAGCACAGCATGTTATGCTGAAGCTTGCAAGATATTACTTAGTTGGTTGAGCTCGTCTTAACGTATACAGTATGTGTTCATCCTCGTCCATATGTGCACCGTCAAGTTAAGCACTGCACTGGCAAAAACATACGTATTTCCACTTTGAGGCATTTCGTGCGGCTTTTCTGCAATTACAAGACGTGACGCAAAGATACTGGGGTTTCCAGGATAGCCGAAATGACTCAGCATGAAGGTCACTAGCGGCTCTGGTGTTCCCAGCCTTAGTTTTAAATGCGAAGCATTTCTTGTTGAACGTCGGCGACATTGAGCGTGTCTATCTATCTATCTATCTATCTATCTATCTATCTATCTATCTATCTATCTATCTATCTATCTATCTATCTATCTATCTATCTATCTATCTATCTATCTATCTATCTATCTATCTAGCCAGCCACCTACGACTTTTAGCTCTCCTAGCCGTTTGGATAATGATATCAATACCAA